ACACCAGCTAACTTCTAATTTCCTCTCAGACCCCACCTTCTCCTCCAGGAAACTTCCCACTTTAAGATTACTGCTCTTTTATCCTTTCTGGGCACAGTACTTATTTACCTAGATTATAATTTTTACTTTACTTATCTCTACCTCCTGCTACATACAAGTTAACAGAACTTCAGAAAATATTTACAAACAGATTGAGTAAAGGACTTCCCTGTAGAATATGTAAGGAGCTCTTGCAATTCAATCATAGAAGCCCCAATTTTTTTTAAAAGGTCAAAAGATCTGAATCAAAACTCAAAAAGGAGATGTTTGGATGGCAAACAAACACATGAAAAGAACCGAACGTCATTAATCTTTAGGAAAATTCAAATAACACAATGAGTATACCCACATATCTATAAGAATGGCTAAAATCAAAAAGATTCAGCATACCAAGTATTGGCATGGAAGTGGAACTGGAGACAAGATAAAAATGATACAACCACTCTAGTGACTGGCAGTTTCTTAAAGTGCTAATATATACTACTTGTAGGTATTTGACCAAAAGAAATAAATGCGTATGTCTTCACAAAAAATTTCTTTCACAAATGCTAAGTGGCTTTATGTTTTCCCGTTTTTAATTACCATTATTATTGTACTGGAGGTACATTATGACATTTACAAAAGTTCTCACAGTATATCATAGCTAAATTCACCCCCTCCATTCCCAAATTGGAAACAACCCAAGTATGTGTCAACAGATGAGTGGATAGATTGTGGTACAGTTTAGTAATAAAGAAGGAACCTCTGATACACACGACAACCTGGATTAACTTTAAATTCTAGAAAATGTAGACGAGTGTACAGTGATAGAAAGCAAACTGGCAGCTGCTGGAGGTGGAGGGAAGGAGACAGAAAAGGGCAGATGGGAGGGATAAGGCACAGAAGTAACTGGAGGGTTGACAATGGTTAGGTTCACTTATGTCATTGTGGGAATAGCTCCATGAGGGCACACACGCATCAGAACTCATCAGGTTGTGCAAGGTATGAGCTGGGGGGGGGGTGGTTTATCAATTATTCCTAGGTAATAGTGCCAGAAAAATAGTGCCCCTTTAAGGGGAAAATTTTATATAAATTAATATTCATCTTTGCTCAAGGTAGGTTTCATTCAGCCCACCTGACACATGAGGAATCTGGGTCAGAAAGCTAAAGAAAGGAAGCAGTCATGGTCAAGTTAGGCTCAAGCCTGGGTCTACAGCCTTCAAAGCTGGGGCACTTTTCTCTGCATGGAATACGCCCACAATGGTAAATTTCCAGTCTGAAGTCACAAGTGACAACTCCTGAGCCTAAGCAAAACTCTAAGGAGGATCTGAAAGAAGCCAGGCAAGGGACTGGGGCCACAGGAGATCCTCTAGGCACTGAAATGACACCCTTCCCCTCGTAGGTTGTTATTGCCTCAAATGCCTCCAACAGTGATGCCCACTAGAGCAGACAGGCTGAGGCAGGAAGAGTCTGTGCTCACTCCCAGAACAACCTTCCCTCTTTAGCCAAAGTGATTTGGTGCCATGGACCCTGAGCAGTCACAAGTTCCACTTGTGCTGTAAACAACACCCTTCGCCTTTCTGGGCCTGCACTTCCTCAGAGGAAGGAGGTGAAACCTGACAAGAAAGCTTTCCAAGGAAGCATCTCAGCCCTATCTCTCATCTTCTGCGTGCCCTGCATCTGCCATGGAACAGGTACCACCAGTAAAAAAGAGTCCTGATTGTGTATGGAACTGCACTCAGCAACTCCATCAGTCTAGTTCCAGAGCAGACCACCCACCTCCACCTAGCACTGCCTTCCCGGATCACTCCCTGGCCACACTGCCTCCTCCTCAGAGGCTACCCCTCCTCTACAAGGAGTGCTGCTCTGAGTTCCAGTTCACAGGCTGAGCATTTAAAACTCGGTGCACAGGGATCTGGGCACCCTGAGACACACAGCAACCTGGTACATAATTTCTCCCTCTAGGGTTATTGAAGGACAATAACACCAGGAGGCGCCAGGAGGAATGGGAAGGAGAACATATGTCCTAGACAATCTCAATGCAGGGAAGCTCCTCCCCTTGTCTCTTGTCAGGTCTGTATGTCCAATGCTAGGCCAGGATTTCTTGCCCAAACAAGCTAAGATATCTGGCTGGGCACACAGTAGGCACTCAGTAAGTATCCACGGAACAGAATTAAATCCCTCCTGCCAGATGCTCTTTTCCAGCCATGGTTGAAAACCACACATCCATCTCAGTGAGTCCCCCTGGAAAGAGCTCTCAGACTGAGCAGCTCCTGCTTCTAACTTGCTGGGGCCATCTGCACTGCACTTCACCTCCTGGAGCATCAAATGAGTAAGAGGACTAAGCTTATAGTACTCTGTGGAGGCTCTCTACTCTGATGCTATCTTATACTAGAAGGAAGAGCCCTTGAGATTTGAAAGAACAGTGCAGGATTTTGTCAAACTCCAACCACTTTGGGCTGCAGCTGTTCACAAGGCTTCAGAGATAGAACGATGTTCCCAGAGGGAAGGAGCTGCCTATTGAAACTGGATTAGGAACTCCTGTGTGGGCGCCTACTCACTGTGAAAGGCACTCACTAGCTTTGAGAAGCTGAGGAAGTCACAGACAGGCTTACTTACATCTCTGTTGCTTCTGAGCTACAAAATCTTGGACAAGTCTCTTTCCATCTCTGAAACTCAATCTCCATATCTGAGACACAGGATAGATACCTGGGTAGATCATTTCAGAGTTAAAAGAGATCATGTAGACAGAGCACAAAACACATGCCTGGAATCTTCATAAATTCAATTCAAGCCCTTCCCTCCCTATTTCATAAATATACTTGAAGTGTTTTTAGCTGGTTTCACTGAGCTGGAAAGTCAAGCCCCTGATGAGGAAAGAGGCTTAATTCCAAGAAAGTTAAAGGGCACTTCATCAAATGACCTAGAACCTAGAACTGTGGTTACAGATACTGAGGAAGGGCTGGGAGGGGTGGAGCACCTGAAGACCATCCACCATGTCCCCTTGTTGGTTATATACAAAGGCTCAGTGGTCAGGTGGCCTCAGAGCAGACCCTTCCCCACAGCCTGGGCTCCTTTCCCCCCACCTATGAGCACATACCCTTACCTCAGGCTCTTTACCCACTAGCTGCTATATGACCTGGCTTCTCAAAAAGAGCATGTGGGGCCAGAAACCCTTTACAGTCCTCTCCGCCTTTCTAATTTTCTGAACCTATAATTCCACGAAGATAAACTGGTGCTTAATTGATACCCCACCCTCTCCCTGTCTCTTCCTTCAGGACACACACAGACGGTACAGAAAGGAACCAGAAGATTCAGAAAATAGAGGGAGAAAGGCAGAGGTTGGGACTCCATTATGTTAATTTAATTAGTTCTAATCTGCTGCGACAGCAAGGCCCAGAATAAAGAGGCTTTTGTTGAAATTTCACATTTGGCAGGAAGTCCCCTCCCCGCCCCGCCCTGCTCCAGTAGAGATTATGAGTCAAAAGCTGTGATTGCAGTGCTGGCTCTCACATCCAGGACTGCTAAGGCTTCCTTTTCACACTTCTCTGACCAAGTTCTTGACTTTTCCAGGAAGGAAATGTGCCCCAGATGTTGGCCAGTAAATGAAGAGTTTTTATCTGCCTTTATGAAAAGATGTCAATAATTCACAGACCCCCCACGGAGTAAGACTCAAAGGCGGAAGTGCAGCCAACTTCTCACCATCAATAAACATCTCCCAGTCAACCTAACCCCCTCCCTATGTGGGCACAAAGCCTTATAGTATGCAAGACATTTCACTTTCATTATCTTTGGGACCTTCACAGCTGTCTTAGGAGGTGATGAGGACAGAAATCTCCCTCGTTCTCATAGATGTGGCTACTGTGTACCTACTGTACACAGGTGAGGAACAGAAGGGGCGCACAGGAGAGGTGGCTTGCCTGTGCCTCATGGCCTGTGGATGGTAGTGTAGGCACAGCACCCAGTGGGCTGCTCTGCTAATATAATCAGAATCTCCAAAACAAAAGAGCCCTGCTCTGAGACATTTGCCAATTTCCACGGCATAACTTTTCCCACCATGGTCAATTCCAAGCCACCAACATTTTAAAAAATAATTTTATAACAAATTTGCAAAATTCCTGAATAATTATAAATGGGCTCTAGAGAGTTTCCAGACTAGAGACAAGTTCTCCCGGCTCTTCACTGAAGGCTTTTTCTATTGCACCTCTCTGCCACCCTACAGAAGGAATCAGCATCCTTCAGTTCAAGAGTCACCTTAGGACTGTAGCTCAATGGTAGAGCATTTGCTTTGTATGCCAGAGACTCTTTGTTCCATTTCAGCACTGCCAAAATTTGAGAGATTGAGAGAAAGAAAGAAATTACCTGGATGACTGGTGACAGAGGTAGGATTTCAGATGATGTATTATTTTCTTCCATGTCACTATTTTTCCAAATGTCCTGTGAGCACATATTACCTTCATAACCAGAATATATACAGGTAATTAAAATCATTTTAACAGGCTTGCTGGAATGATTTGCAATCACCTTTCTGAATAATTTCTGTCACTCTGTCTCCCCTCAGTTAGGTGTATGTGTGTATGTATCTGTGTGTGTGTGTGTGTGTGTGTGTGCATGCACACATGCACTTGAGTGTATGTTTCCTAAGAGGTTAACTTTCCTTTCAGAACACAGCAGGTGCACTTAGACATGCACCTGAATCAGTGCCTTCTTACCTGAAGGAAAAATTCATTACCTTTGGAGTTCAAATTTCATCAGTAATCCAGAAATCAAGATTCCAGAAGACCTGCTCTAGCAAATCAAAAGCTTCTTTGGCCATCAAATCACCTTGCCTCTGGGTGGGCTTGGGTGAAAGCAGTTGGCTTGACTGAACCATAAACACTTGTTACTGCTTTCCTGAGCCTTAGAACAGAGTTTCCATCTCATTCCCCCAAAAAGGCGTTCTAAAATCCTCTCACTTCCGAAGCGAGATTCAGGGCTCTTACCTCAGCGTCAAGATGGAGCCAGGCACCTGGGCTCAAGACAGGCTCAGGGAGGCAAGTGCATTTTAGCTGGGCTCCATGACACCCTCCGCTTCTCTCTGGGCTGCTCACTGCAGAGCTCAGCAGGATTGACGCTACCCCTGCCTGCAGGGAAGTAAACAGTAAAGTTGTGGGCTGAGCACCAGAAGCACATATGTGAATACACGCAGGAGAGTAAGAACCCTTGCTCCTCCCACCCTTGCTCCTCCCAGCCCTGATCACTGGTCACTTTAGAGTCCTTTTCAGAACAACAGCCTTTGACTGAATTAGTCAGTCTTCTTCCCAAGGCCTAAACGGGTCATCTGTTCACGCACACCAGCCTTTCTGGGGCTGCACATCTCAGAATGAGCTGCAGATTAAGCAAAGCAAATTCTACTACAGTCATTGATCCTAATGCTACTCCACATTTGTGGTAAAAAGAAGAAAGGTAAGAAGTCAGCAAACCCAGCCCAGCCCAAGTCTTGTGTTTAGGTAAGGCTTGCAAACTTGCTGATTTCACTAAACCCGTTCACAGTCTCCCTTTGACCTAGAGTATAATGTTCACGCTGTTACTAGCAAGAATGCGGTTTCTCATGCATTTTGGAAGTATTTTTAATGGAATTCAAATTTTCAAGCCATATATTATTATTAGCTGAGTGAATACTGTTTGTTTTTAAAGTAATTATTGTTTTTCCTTGTGCAAAAGAAATGTATGTTCCATTTATACATTTGAAAATAATATAATTTAAGTAAGAAGAATGAAAAGTTACCTACTCTTTCACCTTCTAATTGAATATAACAGGAATATGTACAGCTCCAAGAATAATCACAAAATGAACACATTCATGTAATTTGACTAACCACTACCAGAAAAAGAACATTATTACTGACCCCAAACCTACCTCTGCTCCAATCCCTGCCACGACCCCCTTCATCAAAAGTAACCACAATTTTGACTTCTAAAACAAATGCTGGCCATGCCTCCTTGTCAATTTCACATAGGTAGAACCTTAGTATTTGTTCTGTTGGCTTTGACTGATTTGTCAATAAGATTCATTTACAAGATTACATGTAGCTGAATTTAATTATTGCTGTTACCCATTCTTGCTCTACCTAAGAAAACTACAAATAACATATTCTTCCTGATTTTTCTTATCTAGGTTTTTACTTTCACCTCAATCACAGCTATGAAGGAGACAGAGAAGGATCAGGTTCAAGGCCAGCCCAGAAAAAAACCCTCAAAACCCTATTCTGAAAAATAACTAAAGCAAAAATAGCTGCAGATATAGCTCAAATAGTAGAGCTCTTGCCTAGCAAGCACAAGACCTTGAATTCAAACTCCAATACCATTAAAAAAAAAAAAGACATTAAAAAGCTAGGTATGGCTTAGTGTATGTCATTAAGTAGGCTCTAGCAATGTCATTTTAGTGGCTACATAATATATATGTACCTCAATCCCTGTGATCCTCATCTGGTAACCTACACAGGGGTAATATAAATTGTATACAACACCCAAGTCTGGACATTGAAGTCATCACCTACTCTTTTTGTACTAATTAAAAATAGTGCTGGAAAATATATCTTTTGGGGTAACCCGTGATTCCTTCCTTAAGCCACAGTCTTAGAAATCAAATTGCTGGGTAGAAGAATTTCCAAATTTCTCAGGTTTTGAATAGTTGTGGCCTGCTACCACCAAGACCACTGGACCACAGGAACTCCTCCCGGCAATAGAGAAATGTGTGCATTCCTCCAGTGCTGCTCTCCCCCTAACCCACATCCTCACTCACCAAATGTGACATTTCTAGTAGAAATGAGTGTGGAGTTCCAGAAATCTGACTTGTCTTTTTTCATGCTCAAACTCAGCTTAGCTCCAGTCGAAGACAAGATCTGTGATGGTAAAAATGACCTCCCATTAAGACTGGAGAGAGAGTGCCTGAGAAAGAATTCAGGAAGGAGGAAAACCTAAGAACCCCACTGAGCTGGGCTGATGGGAATGGCTCAAGTGGTAGAGTGCCTGCCTAGCAAGCATGAGGTCCTAAGTTCAAATGCCAGTACTGAGAGAAAACAAAACAAAACACTGAGGGACAGAGGAGTGGTGGAGATAGGTACCCAGGAGAAAGAAAGTTTTGAGACAAAGAAAAGCAAAAGCTATCCCGTGAGAAGACTGAGGCTGATGGGAACTAAGATAAAACTGAAGGTAACAGTGCCATTGGAGGGAGTGCAAATGCCAAGGCCTGGAAAAGATTCAGAGTAGAGCTGAGCAAAGGCATCAGGTGAGATGAAGAAGAAAAAGTTGCTTGAGGTCCTGGGCAATTTGCTTCTGTCTATAATTAATATCAACAAAACACCAGGAGCAAGCCACTGTGGGGACAGGAGAGCATCCAGGAGAGAGCTCTGTGTGCACACACAGGCAGCTGGTAACAAGCAGAAAGCCTGCAGGTGAGGAGCCTTCCCTGGAACTGGAACAGGAGCTCCTGAGGACCACAGTTAGAGGTTCCTGTGGGCTGCTGACTCACCTCCTCTAGGAAGGAAGACCCCTGCTCCATCTCTCCTTAGTAAGCCTATATCCCTCCTTTCACTCTAGGCCAAACCTTCAGTGAGAAATGGATAATTTATCAGGTAATCTGTCTAAACATGGATTTCTGAGGTCCTGTGCCAGTCCCCTGGCCCTTCCTAACTGACCTTCCCTGTACATCCTACACTCCAGCCACAGCAACTGGCAGAATGTGAGAGAATGTGGGGCTCCCTGAGTGCTTTCCAGGTTTGTTGGAAAATGGCATAATGACCTCCAATATTACTTAACTAAGTTACCCCGCCCTTACAACCCTCACATACCAGTGCCTGCCCAGATGCACAAAAAAAATAGAACTTTGATTTGAGGGCCATAAAATAAGGGAGCTGAACCAATCAGATAGTCTTGCAAAATTGCAACTATGAAAAAAAAAGAGTGGTGGTAGGCCCTGAAGTTAAAAGAAAAGTAATGGTATACACACTATGATAAACAAATGACACACACGATCAAGTGATGGGGCTGTAGGGCCCCTGTGGAAGGAGGGAAGCCGGCCTGCAAAAATGTCCAGGCAGAGGCCAGGAGAGGAAGACAGGAAACCATGCAGCTGCAGAGATGGTACAAGCATGGTGGCTCTAATAGCTGTAAGGCTCATCTGTTTTTACTTTTTATTCCTGTACATACGCCCTGAATCCCTTCAACAGTTTCCCCTTTTTGGTGAAATTTGGGTGAGTTTTTCTGCCCTTTGCAACCAAACTGCCCCATTTAAAACAGTCTCTCTGGGCCCTTAGTTTGCAGCAATTCTAAGCTCAGGGATCAGAACAGATGAACTGGACTTCTTTCCAGCTCTGTTCAGCACAACAAATGCAACTATAGGCCTAAGCCAAAAAGTCTGTGAAGCCCAGCTAGGAAAGCATTAACCCAGGCCTCAACTTCTCCAGCCTGTACATGAGCTCTGGCTGCTAAAGTATGAGGGTGCTGGGAGAGAGGCTGGAGGGACTTTCTTTCCTATGATCCAGCACGTAGCTGTGGGGCACATTTGTGGCTGGGTTTTTCATAGGCACAGCTACCTGAAAGGACCATCCAAGATTGCTAAAATGAAGTTGGGTGATTTATTTCCAATCTAAATTCTAAAGATTTTTCTACTAAGTAGATTATACATAAACTTCTCCTGACACCCTGCTCCATATTACACATTCAGCTGATCACAGGTCCCCCCTGATCTCCTGTGACTCTTCATCCCCAAGCCTCCTATATACTCATGTGCTTCCTTGCAGCTTTCACGTATCTCCCACTTAATTCTCATTCCCCACTGCAATCTGTTACTACCACCATGGTCCCCCAACCTCCTAATCCCATAAACTGGACATCTGGATTTAATTTCCCATCTTTCTCCCAAAGCCCAGTGACCAAGGTCTTATTCATTTCTGCCCTTGAACTCAGGACCTTGTCTCCTACTCTCACTGAACTGTCTACTACCTTCTGGCTCTGGCAGCAACTCTGCCAATCCCCTTTCCCTCTACCCTCAGACCCAGAAGCATCCCAAAGTTACTGAAGATGACTCTAGGGAAGAAAGCAACTAAAGGAACGTCTGTAGGGGCCTCATTAACCCCCTCTTGCCACCAGCAAGTGTTTCCTTGCTGAATTTCCAGAGCACATCAAGAACCAAAGAACCCAAGAAGTTCACATCCCAGACCCACAAAGCAGGACAATGTTCATGGGCTCTGTTTGGAGTCAGAGAGTGGATTGGCCTGTCACATGAGTAAGGCACTAGTCACATCCCTGTGATCAATGAGCAATTGCCCCCAGTCTCATCAGAGCCTTAAGGCAAAGGATAACCCTGTGAGCACTGGATCCACTGTTCCACATTATTAGGGATGTGAGCAATTGTTCTGATTATGATTGGATGTGGAAGCAAATTAAGTAAGAGCTTTTTTAGGTCTTCATACATAAAACATTCCAGATCTAGTTCTCTACAAATTTGCTGAGCATTGCAGTCAAATCAGATGACACTGCACCCAAAATACATTAAGAACTTCTACTAAAATCAGGAAACCTCCCAGATTATTTCCTCCGTCTTTTCCCCTCCCAAGACTCACGCCTCATCTTGAAGGTTCATCTGTGAGGCCCCAACCCAACACAATTGGGCTCTTGACTTAGACCAAGTATTCACTACAGGTGTTCCCTTATGTTTTTTTAATTGTTTATTTTAGCAATTACTGTGTGTCAGGCACTTTATGTACTAAATTATTCATTTATTCCTCACATAATCCTTATAAGGCAAGGAGTGTTTTCTCCATTTTCAGATGAGGTGACAAAAATTTTAGTGACTAGCTCAGGCACAAAGCTGGAAAGTGACTAAGCCAGAATCCAACACACACAAATCGGCCTCCCAGAGGCCCCTGTTCCCTCCAGTGTTAGGAAAAAGCTAGCCCAAGGCACCTCAGTCAAGAGCTGTGAGTTGAACACTGAATATGGGAATGGTTTCTGACAAAAAAGAGAAATGGAGTATGATTTTCAGAGAAACAGGAGAAGGAAGCTCTTCTCACTGCCATTAGGGAACCAGCCAAAGGAGAGTGTCCCTGCTCATCTATTTGACAGTCCCTTAGCACCTATTTTAGGTTCCAATCTGAAACCTGGACACGCGAACCCATTTTAATCAAAGCAATACACGTCCATGATTGTAAAGTGCAGGGGTACTGCCAGTCAAGAAAGGAGAAACACAGGCCCTCCCCACCCCTCTATATCCTTATTTCTGCTGCCTAAATGCAACAACTTTCAGCTGTTTTACCTACTTCCAGAGTTATCTCAGTATATATAAATGACATGTTTATACAGCTCTTTTTTTCACTGTTGATATCATTCATTTTCTTCCTAGTATAGATGGTAAGGATTTCCCTCTTTTATTAGCACCCCCATACTTCTCCTTCCCATACTCTCCTAATGGAGTTAAACCATTTTTATTAAGTCAACACCAGAACTTAACATTATTACAACCAGATAAAGTACTGCTTCTGCTGATAGCAAGCCATGTGCAGTGTTGGGATTAATTCCTTTCACGTGCACGCTCTGCTTATCTTCTTGTGCCTCTTGTGTGCTTATTTTCTAGGTACCTGTCACTAACTCAGCCCTCAACTTTCCAACAAAATTAAAACTATCACAGTAAGTCAAATACTATCATGTAAGTAATAGGGTTTTTTTGTTTGTTTTTAATTTCTTGAAGCGCTCTCTTCTGGAACCTTCTATCCTCCTACTCCAACTTGAACTGGTTGCCTTCTAGACTTGACAGGAAACCCACTTATTCTTTCTTGTTTACTCCTTAGTTTTGGAGGAGCAGATATGTAGTAGTTTCCACAAAAAGGCTACATGGGAAGTAAAATAATTGAAACTTTTCATATCTGAGAATGTCACCATTCCACCCACACATTTGATTAATAATTTGTCTGGACAGAATGTCTTGGTTGGAAATAACATGCTCTCAGAATTTTAAAGGTATGGCTTCATTGTCTTCTAGTTGCCAGTATTGGCTAGAGATGGCTCTTGTCAATCAGACCTCTTTTCTTACATATATCTGTTTGGTTTTTTTGTGTATTTTATTGTTTCATTCATTCATTCAGTTTCTGTCTAGAAGCTTGGTTTTGTTTGTTTGTTTTTGTACTGAGCTACTCCCCCCCAATCCTATGTAGAAGCTTTCATCTGATGTATATCTTTTTTTTCTTTTTTTCTTTTATAGCACCAGACACTCTGGTGGGCTTTTGAATGCAGAAGTTTGTATCCATTTCTAAATTTTTATTTCTATGAATCTTTTCCCCTTCATTGTCTCTATTCTCTCTTTTGTACAAGTCTTACTATTCACATGATGGATTTCTTACAATAATCCTTTCTTTTCATTTCAATGCCCTTTTTGTTTAACTTTCTACAAATTTTCTTATAAAATATAAGTAACATGTTTATTAGCCATCCCCCCCCACCACTTCCAGGTAGAACCTGTTCCGCCCTCTTCTTCTCCAGTTTTGTTAAAGAGAAAACACAGGAGATAATAAGAAAGACAGGCCATTTTTTGCTAGTTTGAGATAAAGATAGCTGTACAGAGAGATTCCTAGCGTTGCTTCCATGCACTTCTGTATTGCAACCCACAATGGTTCATCTCTGCCACACATCTTCACTACTTCCTGGTCCCCTTCCCATAGCGGCCTGTGCCCATTTAAGATTACTATATTCGCTCTTCTACAGTAAGCACATCAACCACTTTCAAGTTTTAGGTTTCCTTCCCTTTCCCTATTCCTCCCATGTGCGGTCTCCCCTTAGTGTGTGACCCATGTCCAATAATATTACTGCATTTGTTTTGGGTCTATAATCCGCATATTTTTTGGCGTTCTGAGCCTGGCTAACTTCACTTAAGATGATTTGAACACTCCTTTTCGTTGCACACTTCTATTATTAATGAAATTGTTCTTTTGTTTGAGACTAATAATTATGATTTGTGTGTGTGTGTGTGTGTGTGTGTGTGTGTGTGGTACTAGAGCTTGAACTCAGGTTCTACACCTTAAGCTACTCTACCAGCCCTTTTGGGTGATGGGTTTTTTTCAAGATAGGGTCTTGCAAACTATTTGCTGGGCTGGCTTCCAGCCATGATCCTTCTGCTCTCCACCTCCTGAGTAGCTAGGAGTACAGACATGAGCCACCAGCACCCGGCAATAGTTATGATTCTATGAAGTTTTATTCTCCTTCCTACATTGCCTCTACTTCTTGTGTTTCTTCTTATGTTGCTATCAATTGTCTCTATTGGTTTCCTTCATGTTTCAAACTCCTTTCACATATTTGATGCTCCCCTGTCTTTTCAAATTTAAAAGTGAGACAATAAGGAAGCTGACAGAATGCTGTGTGTGCCAGGGCTGAATTGGCAGATCTTACCAGACAGTGACTAAGACTAATCTGTATATTTTATTTAGAGAGCTCTAAATATCAGTATCTCAAGGCCTTTTCTCTTGGACTAAAGAGTTTATGCAGACTCCCCTAATCTCATGATGGTGTTCATTTGTATCCCCCAAAATTCATATGTTGAAATCCTAATCCCCAATATTATGGCATTAGGAGCCAGAGTTGATTAGTTCTTGAGGCTCTGCCATCAACAGAGGGGATTAGTATCCTTACAAAAGATACCCCAGTGAGCTAGCTAGACCTTCCCCTAGGTGACTACACCTTGTGATGCTGCCCTCTATGAACTAGGAAGTGACCTCTCACCAGACATGGAATCAACTAACACCTAGATCTTGAATTTCTCAGTCTCTAGAATTGTGAGCAATGGATTTCTGTAGCTTTTCTGTTATTCCATTTATGGTATATATTTATTTGTTATAGCAGCCTGAATGGGCTAAGACAAAAGGTTCAGCTCTTTTATCTCATCAGTTAAGAATCAATACTCCTCTGATTACCATTATTTTCTCAGGGAAATATAAAACACAGCTATCAACTGACAGTAAGAATTGGAAGGAGGCATGAGAGGTTTGAAGAGAAAGAAAAAGTGTGAAACAGTCATCTAGATAGAGAGAATGGCAGTGGTTCCCAACCATCTCTGCACACTGAAATCAACTGCAGAGCTTAAAAAAAAAAAAAATGGTCCAGATCTACCCTACGAAGATTCCAATTTCATTAGTTTAAATTCAGGCAGCAGTGCCCCAATGGCAGCCAGAGTTAAGAACTACTGAGGAAATGGCACAAGATGGCCTGACAACACCAGTATCCCCCTAAGTCATGGTAATGAATTAGAGTGGGACCAGCGAGGTGGCAATGTGCAAGATGGCAATGTTCTTTTCTAGAGTCACCTTCAGATCTGTGGAACGACTACGGTGTAGAGAGAGAGTTGGATTTAATCAGGACTAAATGAAAGTTCGTAACGTGTAGACACAACTAAAGTTCAGTAAATGAAAGCTCCTACGTTTATTTTATCACCAGATAAATGACACATACATAATTCTCCTAGCAAATACAATTGTTTCTTATCTCATGCAAATAATTCACTCAGCTTATATATCATAGGGTTTTGAGGTCATTTGTGAAAACTGAAACCTTGAATACCAAACAGACCTCCTCTGGTTCTTTTCATTTGATATGAAGTGTTGCGTGAGCTCTCTGGACTTCCCACCAACTGTAGATATCATCCTTCTTCCTTCTCACCTCTCTCTGGCCCAATTTGATAACAACAGTGCCAGGCCACCATTTTGTGAAGCTCCTCCAGTCTGTACTACCTGGAGCCTGCTCTTAGTAGGCTCTGCATTTGCAGTTCCTGTCTGGTAATTGGTTCTACTCCCTTGGGGAGGTCCACTCCTGTCCAAACCCTGAACCAGGGCCTAGATGCCCATGGAGAGACCTCAGCTCCCTCTGCCCCAGTCAAACCTGGCTGGATCCCTGCCCCAGTCCACCCACCTGCTGGAAAAAGACTGCAGGCTCTATCCTGACTCAGACTAAATGAGCTCAGATGCCAGCAGAGGTAGGAGGCCCATGGATCTGCTTGCAGGGGAGCATGTACTGCTGGCTCCTACCTTCCCTACAAGTGGACCCAGGGCCAAATACCAGTTGTGACTCTCCTTCTATATGATCCTGCTATGCTCTTCCCCTACTACTTGAACTGCTTGGAAAATTCTTCATCCTTAGGAGCCTTTTGGAGGTCTCATTTCCTCTTCTTCGACCTTGCCCTCCAGACTGAGTGAACCCCACCCTTCCTCTGACTCTGGCTTCCTCAGCAACTTGTACAACTCCCTTTATACACTTGTGTCCTTAGACATGCCCATCTCTCCTCCTAGACTGCCAGCTGCTCCAGAGCCATCTTTACAAAGTGTGGACCATCAGGTGAGCAGTAACTGAGAAATACCATTAGGATTTGCTGTTAACTGAGTGGGGCGATTCATACCTTAATCCCAGCTACTCAGGAGGCAGAGATTGGGAGGATAGAGGTTTGAGGCCTAAGCAGTTAGCAAGATCCCATCTCAATCAGTAAGCTAGGCATGGTGGTTCACATCTGCAATCTATGTGGGAAGCCATAGGTAGGAGGATCATGGTATGAGTTTGGTTCCAGGGAAAAATGCAAGACGTTACCTGAAAAATAACTAAAGCAGAAAGAGGCTGGAGTGTGTGGCTCGAGTGGTAAAGCATCTGACTAACAAGTGCGAGGCCCTGAGTTCAAACTCCAGTAAACGTGCTGCAATATTTAAAATAGCCATCACTTATTGTAGTTAAGCACTGCATGTAGTACTGTCATCAATGCTATGATGTAGGAGTGATTAATGTAGACTAAGATGAGAAACAAGGATCAGAGAAGTTCCCAAGTTCACATAGTTGACAAGTGGCACATCTGGAATTTAAACCCAAGTCTGTCTGGTTAAAAAGCATATGATTTTTTTTCCCAAAAGTGAAAGGCTTTCTGAGGAAAGGTAACCCTGCAAATGGTAATGGAAAAGGCAATGAGCCGCCTCCCATCTCTGCTGTGAGTCACAGGGACCGGCTAGGGAGACAGGGCAGGACTCTTCAAGTGCAGAAGTATTTCCTTGGGAAAGGCCTCGGGTCATCTCCTTGCCTGTTCTTTCCCCTCCTCCAAATTTATAGCCCAGAATAAGATGTTCATTGTGTAGAAAAAGAGGAGCTGCCACAAGCCCTCTGGCAGAAACATCTTCTGGGGATTTATCCCTAGCAATGTCGTTAATTACCTCCTGCTCAGACTGTGGGCCTCCAAACACCAGCACCACACAATTGACAAAGGCGGTCCCTGCTGGCTGCACAGATGAATGATGACTCAGCCTAGCTGCCTTCATCAGAGCTGCCAGGCTGTGGTCCTCCCTCTCTCACCTGGGGCAAACTTCTATGACCCTGGTTCCCAAATGGCTAAGAGAAGAAGAGCAAGGCCCCAAGCCCAGCTCCCCAGCAGGATGAAGATGCTTGGGCCAGAATAGGCAGGTAGAGTAAAAAAGACTGTTTCATGGAACAGGAAGGCTCACACAGCCCCAAAGTGTTGCTCATCATGGACTGCTGCAGCCCCCATCACCAGCTCTCAGACCTTGACCTTCCCTACAGAGCACCTATTCATGCCACTGGTAGGCAGGTGTGGCCTGATCTCAGAGGGCAGACTTGAGTACCAGGCAGGCTGAGCTCACTCCAGAAGGCCTCCTAGGCCTCCCAGATACTGTGATGGGCCTGGGGCTGTGCAGAGTGAACACAGCTAACTTCATAGGACAGAGTCAGTATGGTGCAAGAGATGAGAGGTCTTCTCTTTCTTCTGTGGGACACAGATTGCAAGGCACTCATCCTGGCCTGAAGTTGGCTGAAGCTCCGGCTAAGGTAAAAGGCCTGGGAATCTGTAGTAGAGAGGCCATGGGTAAGGCATCATGTTCCTTTTCCGAAGTATGAAGTTGACTGGGTCTCTGTACAATAGCACCACCACACATGCACACTCACCTACTAAGGCTTTCAGATCTCCAGAGCATGCCAGTCCCTATCCCAGACCCTACAATGCTTCCCGAAGCAAAGGTGGGGTGCCTCAGGCTACATTAGCTCAGTGCTGAGGTCTGACTGACCTCCCACCCATACGCACTTTGTCAGCAGCCCAATTTCTCTGAGGCCAGGGTCCACCTTGTCTTCATCAGTACTTCTGCAGAATAGAGATTGCCCCCAGAGTCTCTGACAACCCCATTCTGCCTGTCCCTTTTTCAGACCATGAGCCTCTCCCAGACATGGCCTGCTCACCTGGCAACTCCGGCACTCCTTCCCAACCTCCTCCACCCTTGCCAAGCTGTTGACAGCCATCCTGACCAACTCCCTAGCCCAGACGTTCCCCAGCAACCAGGAAGGCAGGAGCATTCTTTTGCCATGCAAGGGCAGAGCCAGCTCCACCCTTGATCTCTACTGCCTATCACCACAGCCCCCAGCTGTGTCACAGAAAGCACAGTGTCTTATCTGTTGACTAAGATGTTTGTTTCAACATTGCAGGAACCATGTCCATGACTGTGAGAGTTCTTACAGACACCTGTGAGTGCTTTAACAGATGCACACTCTTGGAAGAATGTGACAGCAATACAAATCCTCCATGTGTACTGTGGTGGTGGTGCACACCTGCAATCCCAGCACTTGGGAGGCAAAAGCAGGAGGTTCATAAGTTCAAGACCAGCCTGGGCTACATAGTAAGACCTTGTCTAAATAAATAAATAAATACAACTCTCTGTGGCTCTTCTGTGCTCTCTCATCTAGTGTTATTTATGATCTAATTTGAACATAAAAACTCTGAGATTGGGCAGTAGCACAAACATTACTCCTTTAATGGATAAAGAAATTAGGATTATATTAAGTAGCCTGGGGCCACACAGCTGCTGGATGCCAGAGCCTGGATAATAATTTGGATTCTTATATTGTCTAAAATTTTACCACAAAATTTATATCTCAAATAAATTTTATTTTATAGGTAAATATTTTATGTAAACATACATGTAGCACATATTTACCTATAAAAATAAGATATATGTTTACTGATAAAATGTTTACCTATAAAATATGACTTTTTTTTATATACTTTGCTTTACAAAGGTAACTAATTCAGGTCTTTGTGCCTGAAATCACAGCACAGTGGAAAAACCACAGGCTTTTGGAGTACAGGGAGTTTCCGGGGGCTCAAATCACAGTTTCATCCTGTGAGATTTTGAGCAAATAAACATATCACTCCTACTTCAATTTCCTCATCAGTACAGTAGGATGAGTTACCCACAGGAGGGTTGCTGGACAGCCTGGAGTCGTCTGTGTCTGGCACCTGGTTATGTTGTGGGCACTGAACAAACAGTGCCTATTCTTTCATCCATCCTTTGTCCTCTAACCACAACAAATTACTCACAGTTACCCAGATATGCCACATACTTTCAATCCTCCACACCTGTGTGCCTGCTGCTCCCTAGGCCAGGAATGTCCTTCTCCAAATCTCAACCTATCAGAACCCTTCTCATCTTTCAATGCCTAGACCAAACTCCTCCATGACGCCTTTCCCCATCATCACCTGGGCCCCAGCACCCAACTATTCATCTGATTTATGTGCTGCCTAGGTGTTTAAATAACTGACTCCTGAGCACCCATGAAAAGATAACATCCTGTTCATCTATTTGTATCTCCCACCAGACTCCCTACTCCCTGAGCACTAATATTTAGTGATGCCTTTTTAGAATAGCCTTCGTGGTCTTATTCAAATAAGACCAGCTCATTATTCTTACAATGTCAATCAGTATGTAAAACTACATGGAGTTAAAAATCACCCAAGATACCTCCAACCAGAAAACAATAGATTCGTATCATTTCTCAACTCTCTGTATTTACATATGGATTGCAGTGTGGAGAATAGAAGGATGTGTAAAGAAGGCTGCATGGAAATCACTTTACAAAATAGCTATTTTTAAAAGCTATCAATTTAACACCCCTTTTAGACAGCATGAAAGGGAAAGTTGGCACTTACACTTCCTCCATGTCTCCTAAGCTCTCTGTTTCTGGTACATTCTTTTTACTTCATCACAATTCTATCCGTTAGCCTTTTATGCACACCTCTTCTTAGCTTTGTTTCTCTACTTGAATGGAATTAGGGGTTCACCAAAAGACTTTTTTTTGTTGTTGGTAGTGGGGTTTGAACTCAGGGTCTTGCACTGACTAGGCAGGAGTTCTACCACTTGAGCCACTCAGCCAGACCTTTCTGTTTTTACTTTTCAAATGAGGTCTCATGTTTCCACCGGGGCCAGCCTGGACTGTGATCCTCCTGTTTTAGGCTTCCTGACATTGTTGAGATGACAGGTACACACTACCACACTCAGCTCATTGGTTTAGATGGGTTCACAATAACTTTCTGCCAGGTTGGCCTCAAACTACAATCCTCCTGATCTCTGCCTCCTGAATAGTAGGGACTGTAGGCATGAGTCACTGTGTGCAGACATCAAATGATCCTTAGCCACATCTTCCTAAGTGTATTTGTTGATGAACTTCTCTCAGAATTGTTGCACGTAGGGAAATGTGTGCCTGACTTATACCTGCAGAGTTAATTAGCAGTGTAAAAGTCTAAGGTCCCACTGCCTCTCCCCCAGAACTCTGTGAACATTTCTATTCCGTGTCTTTCTTCTACTGCACATTAAACCTGGGACCAACATGACATTTTCCCCTGTGGCAGAGACTAATTGCTCTGAATATCCAGATTTTCTTTTTTCGGTGGTAGAAAGCCTCCCCAATCCCAAGTCCTAACAGATGGCTCGACATCCTGCAAGATAGTTTTGCCTCAGTTTCTTTGCAGCCAGGAGCACCCACATGATGAAGTCTGGTCAATGGGAGTGTGAGCTAAAGTGATGTGAGCCTCCCAGAATTCCACAACTGCCACTCTAGAGGACCACCCTTATACAACCTTTGGATCCCTGATCTATCTTTGTCTTTTTCCCTCAGCATATGCGTTCATTTTCTTCAAACTTTCCTTCTCAATTAATAATTTGGTTTTCAATGGATCCCATTCAGTTCCCTTACTAATGTGTGTGTATTGAAGGTATAAAGGAGTGCTGGGGATCAAACCCAGAACTCACACATGCTAGGCAAGTACGCTACCACTGAGCTATACCCAAAACCACTCTATTAACTTGTTATGTAAGGGTATTTTTGTGCCCGCCTTTGTTTTCCTTGGCTCTTCAATTGCCCATTTTATTTAATTCCATAGTTTCATCATCTTGTCTTTGAGCTTCCAACTTCTTAGTTTTCAATAAACTTTACTTTGAATGAATCTCCTATGCTGCCTCTCCTACCCAACAGCTAACGCTGATCCAGACATTATCTTGAGAGATGAGGACAAAGGTTAAAGATGACCCGTTCATCAGTAGTGAGACAGAATAATTATGCTTCTGGTGGATACCTTCCACCTTCTCAAATCCCACTCATCCTCAAAGATCCAATTCAAAGACCCACTGGATCTTGTCCTCCAGCCCATGCTGGCTGTTCTCATTCCAGTCATCAAAGGACTTCTCTCAAGTAGAGGTTTTACCCATAGCGCCTGGACTCACAAACGAACCTGGAAGTTTTCAGATAAAAAGAAAAAAAGAGAGAGATCTATTCCTCCCCCCTCACCACACAATTGGACATATAAAGGTTTTGGGTTTTTTTAAGATTTCTGATCTACTGATTGACTGAATAAAAAGAAGGTTAAAAACTAGAATCAAGATTCAGAAGAGGCTATCAAGATCAGGCCCACTGGTCCCAAGTGAAAAGCAGATAACACCAAGAGGTGGGTGGAAGGAAAAGGTTTTCTAAAAGGTACTGTCCTTTGAGAGATTAAGAGAGAGGGAACAGCCTCTTATCTAGCAGGCTGGACGTTCAGAGCCTGCCCAGGGGCAATCAAACCCATGTTCAAGTTCAAGCACCTCTGCCTTTGAACTGTCATCAAATCGTCTTCAGCCTTTGTTTCCTCACCTATTAAACTGAGATAATAATAGTCTATAACACACAGTGAAGTGATGAAAATTATACTAGATAGTACATTGCTTCCTGCCTCACATGCCTTCTCTAGGACCAACCTGATAATGTTTCCCCGACACATACAGTGATCCACTCCTCACCCTTGACCCTCTCTTCCCTTTCTCCCCGCAATGCGCTTCTCCTGGAGGGTAGCAGCTGCTTCCTTCTAAGACCCAGTTTAGGTCCCACTTCTTCTGAAAAGCTTTCCAAACACACTATACCTTCCTGCCATCCCTGCGTTCACTCAAATCATAATATGTATCACAGAAGTTTGTAATAGACATGTGCATGTCTACCTCCAACTGAGCTCTAGAAGAAAGAAAACAGTGGTGTTTATTTTGTGTCTCTATTCTAAAAAATGAGCACCATGCTTGGCCTGCAGCAGGCTCTCAAGGTTTGTTGAATGAATAAACACAGCAAAAATCCTGAGAAGACAGGCAGAGGATAATGTGGGAAGTTCATCTGTCATTGGCTTCCAAGGCCTTCCTAGCCTCACAGAGTGTGTGTGTGTGTGTTATTTTCTGTATGTAGTTACTCTCAATGCCTATCATACAATAGGCACTCAATAAATATTTAATAAACAAATTGGTGAATATACTCTATAAAAGAAGAATTTGTTTAAGAGCCTAAAAGCACAGCTGCAAGATAAGCCCTTAACAATGCTAATATTGAATCCCATTTACAAGCTTCAAGGAATTTAGGATAGCTGAGCGGTGGTAACCACCAATCCAAGGCCATGCCCACTAACAGGTGTGTTTAGTCCCAGTCATTAACTAAATAATGATCATAAATGGATATCACAGCTTTAAAGGACAAGGGGGAAAAAAAGCAAACCAGCTATGACATAAACAGCTCTGACCAAAATGGGAAATGAGCAAATATATGCTGCATTCAAAAGTCACATTCTTTCAGCCATCTTAGGGAGATGGGAGAAAGTTTCCTTGACTATCTCTAAGGAGAAACTGTTCAAGTAAATCCCGTGAACTACAGGACTAAGCAGTTCTTAGATCCAATGCAGTGGACAGACCTGTTGCATGACGTGGGGAAAACAGCTAACAGACTTGACCCTGTTCCCAACTGCACCCTCAGTAGCAGTAGAATGGAACCCAAATCCCTAGCCCTTTCTGAAGCTCAGCTAATACTGCCAAGGTACCAGTCACACTATGAGGCTTGAATGAGAGAACACGTAATGACTAATCAGGGTCAGGCACACAATGAAAGCCCAGAAGATGGTAACATTTGTCATATTTCTCTCATCAAACTTGGCTAAGACTTACGGAAATGAAGGGACATGGTGGGCGCTCAATTCCAACACAGAGGGCCGTCAAAAGGTTGCAAGGAGTGAAGTGTTCCAAAAATGAAAGCTGCATGACGTCTGAGCTCTACACTAGGGAAAACTCCACCAACCAGGAGATGGAGATAGATTTAGAAAAACCGTAATGAAATAAAATTTATTGTCATGCTCCTGGGACACGTAGTTCTTTTCTAGCTGCCAGATTTCCTGGTCATCTAAAGTGTATGTGATATATTTATTCCCGTAGAAATAATTTATGAATATAAGGTCAAGTGCAGCTCAAGCCAAGGACAGAATGGGGGAGGGTTGCCAAGATCCAAGGGAAACAACAGTTAAGCCTCCTTTGAAGGTTTCTATGTTACACTACCTTTTCTGA